CAGATACTATACATACACTGTACCACATCCGGGTCGGCGTCAGTATCCTGCTGGGTAAGGTTGTATGCTCTGCCCTAGATAGGAGGCCTCCCTTGATTCTGGTTCCTCGGGCACTCTCTAACATAATGCTGGGCACTGGCAAAAAATGCGACAAGTGTTGTTGAGGCGGTAGCAGGGTCAGTCCCCGTGATCTCTGCCACAGTGTTGACAGATCTTCCCCACGTGCTGCCCCTGAGCCTGAGGAGGGGCCTGGATGGCTGGTCTGGGCTCTGTTTGGTTGGGTAGGCACCGTGGGTGCTGGCTACGGAACGGAGCTGAGGGTCGGGAACTCCCTCCTGGCTGAGGACGGGTGCTGAAGCTTCTTTCCACGATCTGTGCCTTGGCTAGGACTGCTGAATATGTCTTGAGCTCCAGTATTACCAAGTGTTGCGTGATCTCTGGGCGGAGACCCGACTGGAATCTCCTGGCCTTTCGGCCCTCATCCATCAATGTCTCTGGGGAGTATCGGCCCAGCTCGAGGAACTTACAAGCATACTCTGATACTGTCATGTTTTCCTGAACTAGTTGAACAAACTCCGTTTCCTTTAGGTGTCGGATGTGCTCAGGGAGATACTCCGCACGGAAAGCCGTTAGGAACTGCTCCCAAGTGACTGGTGTAGGCAGGGTGGCCTGCTTGAGCTCCCACCAACGTCCTGCTTTCCCTACCAGCATGAAGGAAGCAAGGGCAGTTCTCTGCTCAGGGACTACCCCCAAGATCCTGAAATCTCTCTCAGTCTCCGCTAGCCAGTACTCGACCTCTTCGAAAGAGGATCCTCCTGCAAAGGTGGAGGGGTTCAGTCTCCTGTACATCTCTATGTAGCTCGGGTCGATCAAGGAAGGAGCGGGGTCCCGTGGAGGAGGGACTGGACCCGGCTGGGGATAGACTGGGGGGCCCTGTGGCGGCACCTGCTAAAATGGTGGGGGCACCGGGTTGTAATGTGGCGGTGCCGAGCAGTACAGTGGCTGGGGCACCGGTTCATACTGCGGCGGTGGTGCCGGGTGGTACTGTGGTGGAGCAGGCTCGTGCCGGGGTGGCTCGGGATCTGCTTGCTGTAGCGGTGGCTCAACCCGTGGTAGTGGGGGAGGTTCAGGTAACTCCCTTCTCTCCTCTCGACCTTGCTAGGCGGCCATGATCCTTTCCAGCATCTCAAATATTCTGTCCACATCTTCCCGAAGGGAATCATCCCGGGCTGCTCGGTTTAGTGGGGGTCTTCCTCTCCTCATCTCTCTGCACCTACATTTTATAAGGAATGGTTGAGTAACAGTTTATCGGTGAATATTTCTCTAAGCATTATTGTGTAAGGGATGGGTCCGGGGAACGCGGCTCTGATACCAACTGTAACGGCCCCAGAATTTTAAAATGAAATATGTGTATTAAAAATGTCAAATGCGGAAGCGTCATAAAAATTTTGATTAACATCCCTTACACTAAAACCAAAAACGTGCTCAAAGTATAAAAGAACAAACTAACTAAAAGAGAAACTCGAAAATAAAAACTATAAATATAACTACGGAGTCTTTAGGCATCCCCTTCGCCGTCTTCATGCGGAACGGGCTCGGGAACAATGTCTTCCTGATATGAAATGGTTAAATAAGGAATGAGCTACACCAGCCCAGTAAGGACATCACACTATCTCACCGCCATGGAGGTAAAAGTGGGTAGAAAATACAAAATGACCAATGGAGCATAATTTATAATAAACTCGTTTATTTGCATAAAAACCTTTACTGTCCACTTACCTCGGTGAAGTTCATAAAACAACATACGAAAGCAATAACATTATCATCATCATGAAATCATATGAACTGTATAACATAATACTTACCACGCCTTTGCATTTCAATCATTACACAACATATTTTCCTCATTTACCAGCCTACTAGTATCTATGGGGATTCATAGGGGTCCCGCTACCCGTGAACCCTTAACATTTGTAATCAGATTCCAGGGCTGTTCCCATACCCCGTCCGGTATGAGGGCCAAAACCATAAACCTCAATACCCCGTCCGGTATGAGGGTGAAACGGGCTGTCCCCATACCCCGTCCGGTATGGGTGCCAAAATACATAAGGTCTCCATACCCCGTTCGGTATGAGAGACCACAATCCCGGTAGGGTTCCCTACGGACCCGGTCCGTCCACCATCTCCCAAGATATCTAGTCAGGCTGACCACATTATCCAATTATCAATTTACGTAACCTTTTATTCCCTTTTTCCTCAGTCACCATCATCAAATCACACACAAACAAGTAAACCAGTAATTTATGCCAAACAAGACAGCACACAACATCGGGTTCTCAGTCATTCCACCCATTATCAATAAAACAGTGATATATGCACACGAAATTATGAAATGAGAACATCAGACACCATACTGCATTTAAAACTGTAAAATAGAACAAACAACAACTGACCGATAAATACACCAGACTCGGGCTCCATTAGCGACCTTAAACAATTTCACACATCTATTGATTCATGAACACCGTTTTATCATTTATTGAACTTTAATACCGTGATAGGAAATAGGGTGAGGGGTCCTTACTTGTTTCGGGATCTGAATACGGCTCTACAGTGCGCCTACAGGCTGTTCCTAATTTTTCCTGAATTTTTCCTGGGGAACTGAAACGCATTACTGGTACCGGCGGCGGTGCTCTCGGGTGCGGTGGCTCTCCGGTGTGAATCGTGTTTTGGTGATTTGGCTCCGATCAACCTCGATCGGCGGTCGGAAATTTCCCCGGTGCGGCGGCGGGTGGCGGCGGCCGGCTCCTCCGGCGACTGATTCTTCTTTTCCGGCGAGCACTGGCGGTTAGGGTTTCTTTGGTCAGGTGTGGGTGGGGGTATTTATACCCTTCGCCTTTTAATCTTGACCGTCCATCAAGATTGAATCTGGACCGTTCGATCGCGATGTAATTGGGATTAAATCTGGACCGTTCATCGCGATGCAATCTGGGCCGTCGTGCCTGATTGAATCTGGGTCGTCCGTGCACGCGGGAATGGATCTGGGTCGTCCGATCGCGCGCACGCGGATCGCCCCCGTGTCCCGTCCCCTGGCCAGCATATCCTTGCCACGCGGAGTGTCCTGGTTGGCCGGGACTGCTAATTGGGCCGCTGACGTGGCTGCTGACGTGGAGTTGATGTGGCACAACTTTTCTAAATTACGTTTTGACCCCCGGTTTCCGATTTTCTTTTTAAAAATACCTCCAAAATCTAAAATTTCACCCCATTTTCCCAAAATCAATTTTAATTAAATCCAAATAATATTTTTTCCAAATTTTATCATTATTATTATTTTTATTTTTATTAAATTAAATTAAATTAAATTAAATAAATCAATTAAAATTTCAATAATTTGAAAATAAACTAAATAAAACAAATTAAAAATTAATAATAATAATAATAATAATAATAAAATTAATGGGTGTTACACACACATGATACACACACACACGCTTCCACTTCAGCAATGACTTGTCTTCCGTGCCTTCTCTCTACCTTGTTCCTCTATAGCCGTGCTTAACCTTTGACAATTTTATAAAAGAATGGGCCTTGGAAGAGGAGTGTTTGCTTCACTGTAAAAAATCCAAGTGGTATGAATCCCTTTAAAGAATTGGTGTCATGTTTATTTGAATTTATGGGGAAGCAATTTGGTGAATGGGTGTATGTTGATGATAGTTATATCCATAGTATTGAACAATAGTGTGCATGTACCACTATCAAAATTCCTTAGTGGAGACAAGTCCATTATCATTATGCATCTTGGTGGATAACATATCAGTGTGCTTAATCTTTTGGGTGGTGTCTGAGATGGTAAACAATGATTTCATTCCTACAGATAGCTTCATGGAAGTTCAAAAGTTTGAGGTAGATGAAAAGATCGTGGAGGAGGTTATATCAAAGTAGTTTTCAGTTAATTCTTCAGTTAATGTTAAATTTCATAGTTATCTATTTGAAATAAAGTTATCGACATTATTGAATTTCTTCTTGAATCCCTCACAATTTCTTTCCTTTACTGTGGTGCTGCACCTCAATATTATGAGCAAACTCTCAAGATAAAGAATAAAAATTGATTGTATTCTCAATGAAGAAAAAAAGGAAGAAACTTAGATGTCAATGTTAAAATATCTGTTTATAATGAGGCCTAGGTGCAAGTAAGCAGAGTGCCCAACTATTTGGGACTTAAATACTTCTCAAGATAGGGAAGATCATGTGTTGTTTGGAAGACATGTAAAAGATGAGAAAAAAAAGGTTGGTGGCTACACAGAGGACGAGAATATGAGAATGGAATACTTGGCGGCTACTATTAAAGGAAGAAGAAGATGAAAGAAAAAGTTTTGAACAGAAACAAATAAATCCTAATTTGAAAGGGATATAAGAAATGAACTTAAATTCTAGTTGATTGAAATTTCTAATGCACTTATGAGAAAATAAAATAGAAATTCGAATAAGTTTATTAAGAAAAAAAAATGGACCAGACTTAATTTGAATTATGAATTGTTGAAGGGTTTATTAGGCTGAAAATACAAAAGATAATGATTGTTTTTTTAAACAATAAATAAATATATATATTTATTAAAGTGATGATAGTACATGTCAATTTTTATTTAAAAGAAAAAAAACCATTTTTAAAAGTTAACCTATACATATGGCCACCATTTACATAGGTATTTTTACTTACAAAGAAAAGTTTATTGGTATTAATAAATATAAATGGTTAATTTTTGTATATGTATACTTTTACCAACGAAAGTCTTGTGTTATTAAAAATGACCGTTAATGCTAGTTATTTTTATTGTAGTATAATGGTGCTTAAGGGACAACCAAATGGTAGCTAGCATTTAATCTTCTTTTAGTACGCACATATTATGTGTAAACTTAAAGAAAATTTAGTGGCAGAGTACAAAATAAAGGTTAGCAAGGTCAGTTGGAAGACATCATATAGAGGAAGGCAAATAGTTCGATTTTATTAGATACGAGATTGAAAGTGTAGCAAATGCCAAAGATATATAAAGGGTAGGTAGGAAGAAATTAATAAATGGTCCTAATTAAATTTGCCCTTATGTTTATTATGATCGTCATCTATAATTCATACTAGTCTTTACATATGGATGCATATATAGTATATACACATTCGCCCATGGATTATCCTAAAAGGTTTTACAAGAGAGAAGAAATGAGAAAGATTGTTAATTTAGAAATTTGATGATGCAGGAAAATGTCTGTGAATAAGTGCATGGGTATGAGTCCAAAGGATTTGAGCTTGAGACTCATCATCTGCTAGGGCTGAACAGTTGCTCTCATTACAATCAACAAAATATTTCCCATTCAATCCTTCTGCCTGTGGGCTCATTGCAACATAACATGTCGTTGATGCTCCCTGCATCATCATTATAAATTAAACATCACTACTACCTACTCTTATTCATTCATTACATATATACATATAATATATACGTATACAGTCTTTTTTATTTTTCTGATATATTTCATGAATCACATGAAGCTAAGCGGAGATCAGACAAACCTGAGAGGTAGTTTTTAGTAGCTTGGATGCAATAAAAAAGAGGGAATCTGCAGAGAAAAAAGTTTTGGAAGCTTTTTAGGGTTTGTCATTTCCCTATCTATTCATCATTACTATTTTACCGGCCATGACAAGTCATGTAAGTCAACTTGGATTGGACATCACCTTCATATACGTGTCTATATATATGTATATATATATATATATAGAGAGAGAGAGAGAGAGAGAGAGAGAGAGAGAGAAAGACTTGCCTGTAATAAATCCATGATGAGCTCTAATAATCCCAGTCTTTATAATGCCTGGATGAACTGCATTGATAGTTACTCTTGCATTCTTGGCCTGCAATAAACCTTTACAATTACATATAGTACTGAAACAAGAAAATTCCACGTTACGTGGTTACATATAAACATACATATACATATATATATATATATACTTATTTGAATACATATTACCTTGAGCTGTCTGGCGACTTCCTTGGCATGCAATATGTTGGCTAGCTTTGACTGAGCATATGCTCGTGTACCATTATAACTGCAAATCCAACATTAACCAAAGGAAAAAAAAAAAACTAAATAAATATTTGGCTTACTTGATAACAATATATAATATCATTATTATGAAGAAGAAAAGAAAATATGTAATTTGATTTAATTACACATACTTGTTTGGGAGTGGGTTGAGCATTTGGTGAAAGGAGAAACAGTGTTTTTTAACCCAGCCGTGAAGCACTGAAGAAACGTTTATGATTCTTCCTTCGATCCCCGTTTGTTCTGATGTTTCTATCATCTTCTCCATCAGCATTTCTGTCATCAAAAAATGCCCTGCATGCAGCCAAATATGTAATATTATACTTGATCTCATTGACCGAATACTCACATTATAATAGTTTTACTAATATTGGAAAGATCAAGAAGACAAATATGCTTCTTGGGTCCATGCATATATGCCTAGGTACTAAGAGAAAATTTATATAATATATAAATACAGAGAGAGGGAACTTCGAGTATTATTTTTCTAAAAAAAAAAAGGTATTATATATGTTATAAATTCAACTAAATTTTCATGAAATCCTCAAGTTTTGGTAAATTAAGAAGTGTGTAAAAAATAAGAATTAAATTATTTGAAAAGATGAAGAAATTAAATAATAATTAAAGATATATATACACTAATATTTGACCTGAATTATTTTCTCACATCCAATTAGTAGGTCACATGCACCTCTGTAACTTTTTGGGCCAAACATCAACAGGACTTGTTTACCCACCATCTAGGGATCAGGTAATTAATTCACCCCAAAGCCTATTACTGCAATTATTTTATTTTATTTTGTTTTATTTTTAGATTTTCAAATAATAATAATAGTAAGAAAAAGACAAGAAAAGGCAGTGCAATTTATTGGTCCATAAAATGGCCAGCTAAAAGGGCTTATTGGGCTCAGTGGACCACCACCCAATAAAGAAAAGACTCTATTAATGTAATTCTACACATCAATATATATACATATACATATATGTATATACATATAATATGTTAAAAGCACAAGCAGTACTCTAATAATTAATTAATTACCCAGATAATTTGTAGCAAATGTCATCTCAATTTTATCTTCAGAGAATTCCAAATTCTGAGAGAATATCCCAGCATTGTTTCTGCAAAAGTTAAATCAATATCATGTATGTAATAAGAGAAATATATGTGGGTGTATATATATATATATATGTATGTACGTACTTACATGAGGATGTTAAGGGAAAATCCTAGAGAAAGAAATTGAGCACAAAATCTTTGAACAGAAGCAAGTGAGCTTAAATCAATCTCGAACAATTGAATGTCCGCTTTTGGAGTCTCTTTCATAATTCTATCTTTAATTTCAATTGCTTTCTTCATATTTCTTGCTGGAATCACAACTCTCACTCCTCTCTTCGCTAATACTCTTGCTGTTTCTGCTCCGATTCCTGATGTTGCTCCTGCAAATTTTCATAAATTCATGATAATAATATTTAAAATTTAACAACATATTAGGAAATAATATTATATATAGACTTAATTAATAACATCCAGATTTAATTTTATATACCACTATATATATATATATGTATATATATAAAGAGATCCAGTCGATCGGCAACAAGGACAGATCATAAGATCTTATTTCAAAAGAGACAAAACCAAATATTATCGCAGCCGAAAAGAAACCATATAAAATTATCAACACATAGAATAACTAAAGAATACTAAAGGAGATCATTAATATACAATAAAAATTAACAATGTGCTCTAGAGATTATCCTCGTCAGAGATACATTTTTTTTAATTCGAACGCAATCTTAAAAGAATTTGTTATATATGCACATATAAATATACATTATCCACTGAGTGTGTAAACGTGTATATATATGTATATTTGTTAGTTATTTTTTAATTAATGAAGATCTAACACTTTCTCTCGAGATTATCGAAGAATATCCAAAGAAGTTGGATATCTGATCAGATTCTGAACCATTAATGTTCTCGACAATTTCACAGAGAGTATATTATGCAAAATCATGAATCACACTTAACTCTCTAAATCAGCGAGGTTAAGCACACATTTTCAGTAAAATATTACCTATATATATAGATGTAATTTAATTAGCAGAAATATATTAATTTTAAAATCATAATAGAATTTACTTACTGGAAAAATATCAAAAGCACAGTACACATATATATATATATATATTTCCATGCAGTAGTTTTATGTGTGTATGTGTGTGGTAAGCTTGAAAATTAAAGAATAAAAGGGAGATGTATAAGCATATATATATGTATATATGATTTGTTTGAATATATAAGAAATGAGGAGTCATTACCAGTGACAATAGCAGTGAGGTGAGAAGGCAAACAATGGTGTGTAACTTGTTCAGCTGTTGATTTGGAGCCATACCCACTTGGCCCTGCAATTCCTGCTAAGTACCTCAGTGTTTCCTTCATCTTAATTTCTTATTATTATATCAATCTTCTTCTCTTAACCCTGCAAATTCAGTCCCTCTAGTTTATTTCTTACCAATCTACACACACACACACACACACATAATAAGAGACCCTATTGCAGCTAGCTGCAGTGTTTTTCAATAACACATATAATGGAGTAATGGAGTACCATATATAAATATATATACACCCAATTGAAAAGAACACCATAGATGAAGTATATTATATATACATGGTGTTTGAAAATGGTCAATGGGGCAGATCTCCACCCTTCAATTTATGTGTAGGAGAAATGATTGGTTGAGAGTGGAGGAACAGCAATGGCTTTGGTGGTTCTTGGAGTACCTGATCATCATCATGAAAAAAGGTTATATATATTGCCAAGACCGTGTGTATATGTGATGAAAATTCACCATTATTCATTTGTCTTTATTTTTTCCAAACTCATTATTACTGTCTGTCTGTCCTTATTTGGTGGCCTCCATTTCCTGCTCTGTCTTTTCCTCTTTCCACTCCCTCTTTCATTTTACTATCACCAAACTCCACTAGTTTTATGGATAATTCCTGGATGTAATTACACATAGCTTATATATATGTGTGTGTGTGTGTGTGTGTTGGGTATATAATATTTTCTAACTTCCATTTAATTTTGAGGAAGAATCCCTTAGTTCTCCTACTATTTCTGTCTATCTTTCTAATAGTTTTCTTTTTCGTAATGAAAAATATGTTGAAAAATTAAAAAATTAATTTCTTAACAGCGTATAATTATAATAAAATAAAATAAAAATAAGAAAATATATAATATTTAACATAATTTATCAAATATGTTTATATTTATAAATATTATTTTTATTTTCTATCATATTTATTTATTTTAAAAATATAATATTTGATGAGAGAGTCTTAAAGAAGTAATTTCACATCACTCAAATTTTATTAATTTTTTTAAAATTTTTATCATTTTGGACAAGAATTTAAAACGGCAATGTTACTTTTTTAGTAGAAGTATATATATTCTTTTACTAAATTATATACACACACACACGTAATAATCACATAATCTCTTTAAGGATTATACATGAAAATGAATTATTTAATCCCAACTCACAGTTTTCTTATGCATAATGATCGGAAGCATAACTATTTAGAGAAAGAATAATTGTGTATGTATATGTTCTCCTTATCATATATATATATATAAATGTTTTGGTTAAAAATTAATTACTGTGTGGTTAGTTGGATCTGACATGGGCACAATCTGCCAATCAGATAGACTTTGGCTGGTAGGGGACATATCTCTCTAGACATGACAATATTACTATAAAGTTTCAAACTTGCTTTGATTATGGGAATTTAAAGCACAAAATGTTTGACATATTTATATTTCGGTCATGGAGAAAAGCTCTTTTTCTTTTTCTTTTTTTCGTTTTTTCTTTTTGCTTTTGTACACACGTGAGGATTGGAGACAGATTTATAATTAATTAATTCTTCTACTTAAAACACTTAAGTTAATATTTGCTTAATTAGAAAGTCTGAAGACAACATTATAAGTAAATTATATATATACAAGCACATTTATATACACATGAAATATTGAAAGAGCAGTCAATTAATTGATTGGGAGTTGCAATGAGCTCAAGCGTTTAGTGTGTTTATTTGACTTTTTCTTGCAGGCTTGTCTCTTGCAAGTATAAATCCTATTAATTAATTATAAAATGTACTTAATTTATGTATATATACATGTGTATGTGTGTATCTAACAATCAAAAGGGAGATTCTGTGGTGCTGAAATTTTTTTTCCCACCCATTAATTAATTATCTTGTTATTTAATCTTCAACGTTTGTGTCATTGTGGCATTGGTTATATTTTTATGGGTAGGTGTTATAAATTAGGATATAAATTAATAAAAAAACATGTAATTTAAAAAAAATACTTGAAAACATTTTATGTTATATATATATATTTTGCAATAATAAAAAGGTGATTAAGTAAAAGGATCTGAAAAGAGTATATTGGTGTTAATTCAGTGGAATGATTCCTTCAAGTAAAAGGGTTACATTCAAAGTTTTCATCCTGTGAAAACACCTTTGGTTAATGGATGATGCTATAAGTGTTTCACACGTGCACATCTACATAATTAGATGATATATATATAATCACTCATATAGCACTACAAACATATATATATATATGTATACGTGTAAATAGAAAGAGAGAAAGAGAGAAAGAGAGAAAGAGAGAAAGAGAGAAGAGAAAAAAAGAAAAAAAGAAAAAAAGAAAAAAAGAAAGAAAGAAAGAATTGATTGAAGACCAAAAAAGAAAAGTAGGTGTGTATATATATATGTGTGTATGTAAACATATATGTATATATATGTGGGTGTGTGATGATGAAGAGTGTGGTGAGATCCCCGAGTCACGTCTTGTAATGGTTGTAGTGTGCATCCGGGCGGGCATTATGTTGGGGAATGAAGCCGACTCCTCACCAAAGGAGTTTGATCTGGCAATGCAAAGCGGCCCCATTTGT